AGTGTAAATAACCTGCCTTAATTGGCCAAACAGGCTTCAATCATCTATTATGGGTTTGAAACATCTTCCGACCACATTATCAAAGTATCTGAGGACATTTATAGAAGGCTAATTACAGACTACATAGTATTTCCTTCCTCTATTCTGGCTCCTCAGGGGTCATTTATTGTTGGCTCCATGCTCATGTGTTTTCCCAACAATCAAGCACAGTCAAATCAGTGGCTTTTCAGTGATTTGGGAAAATGACAATTTGGAATATGAAAGGGCTTTCCCTACCATTTAACGGGTTTCACATTTCACTGGCAGAAACATCACTGGATAATTGGTTCATATTTGCCTGTTAAAGAAATATTCTGGTGATTTTGTGGATATGGAATAAATACAACCTTTACAAACATGCTAATCAACTGTTTCTAAAGATGATTTTTTCATTATCAAGAATTTAACCTTAAGGAAAAGGATGCAAAGAAAAAGAAGGCCCATAAAAGCACTGAAGACTTAAACAAATACATTTGTTAAACAAAGATTTATCAAAATGCAAAGTCATGGACATACCCTTTGAGAATTTTATTTCCTTCTATGTTTCCACATTATTTTTTTATTTTGTTGGTCTTCCAAAGGATACAGTGGTAAATGCCCCCTATATTCCTTTAGACAGATGCCAAAGATATCTGGCTGGGACCAGAGATTACCTTAATTCAAAGTAAACAAACATTGCATATAAATGAAAGTCTAGGTGAAAAACAGGAACATATATTTTCATTATGATGTGATAATGTGTACCAGGAGTACTACATGTATAGATATGCTGTATACTGCATTGTTGAAATGCTGACCAACCTGGTTACTATAATCAGAAGAGAATGAAAAATTTGTGGGGAGGTTTTTATATTATATTTAATATATTCAAGTAGACTGGTTTTTAAATAAAATAAAACGCCTCGGGGTGTCATGGTGGCACAATGGTTAGCATGGCTACCTGGCAGAGCTATGGCCCTGGGTGTAGCTCCTAGGGTAATATTTTTTGTGGATAGATGATGTGAACATTTTTATGTTTTCCCAGTGTTTGTGTGGGTTTTGGTGGGATACACCTGGCTAAAGACATACTGGTACAGACATGGTAGGTTAATTGGCTTCTGGGAATATTGGTTCTAGTGTGTGCGTGTCTGTGTATGCCTTGCAATAGACTGGCATTCTGTCCAGCGTGTATCTTGCCAGGATATGCTCTGGCTCCTGTCACGGAACCTCTACGTGGAATAGGAGGATCCTTATGCGTGACCAGAATCCCACAGGACGCAGAGTAGCAAAGGGACAATCCAAAAGACAAAATCCAGAAGGCGAGGTGCAGAAGCAGAAGCATCGTAAGAGAGATCACTTGACACACACACACACACACACACACACACACACACACACAATCAGGGATGAGATTGGGAAGCAGAGGTTCCGGGAATGTAACGTCGTTTGCGAGGGAGGGTGTGGAATGTGACAGGGACAGAACGGCGTTTCTGAGTAAGAGTGTGGGGCGTGACAGCTCCCCTGCTAACCTGTATTGGATGAAGGAATTAGGATAAAGAAATTAGAAAATGGGTGGATAAAAAGCCTAGTTAACATTAAAGCAAATATGAAAAACTGGTACAAAAATACTCAGTCTACATATTGTACATGCACAGTTTTCAAGGTGAATGATTTCCAAATCACTTCATGTACAGTTACCATACAGCAGATATTCAAAGAGAGGCTGATGATGTTTAAAAGATGTTTAGAATTTCACATCCAGGATTCTTTTTTGCCTATGGCCAGCATTGGGTGAAGGTCATTCCTTTCCTCTTTGTTGATTGGATTCTACTTCATGATAGATTTTACTCCATTCTTTCTTGGAATAAATATTAACTATATTGTGTTTAAATCTTGGTTCACCATGTGTCAGTTAACTCAAGATATCAACTAGAAGTAATCAGTGAAGTGAGATAACCTACTATGAATATTATTCTGTCATACATAATGTTAAGCTAATCTTTAATGATCTTGGATGTTCTGTGATTTCAGGTCATGAATTACTACTACTATTACTATTAATAATGATAACAAATGTGACTAGTAAGCCGGATAATAAAACATGTTTATGCCATAATCTCAATTTCTGAAGATACAGTAGATATAGGTATAGATGCAAAATAGTAAAAGCAACTAAGGCTCACATATAAGATTTATACAGATGGTATTTTGCGACTTTGGATTTTTTTTTATCAGAGGGAGGACAGAGAAACTTCTCTTCTCAAATGCTATAGACAGAAGTTTTATTTTGAAAGGCCATAGTTTTGAATTAATTCCTGGTCACAAAGCCAAATTTCCACATGCACTTACCAATGCAATTCTTTTCATCTTCACATATGTGAAGAAAAATAGCCAGCTGTTCCTTGTATGCCTCAGAAAGGAGGATTGAAATATGGCTTTGGGGCTATTTTTGGCCGGAGAGGCCTAATGGCAAACAAGAAACACTGGAGAAGTCACTGAGGCCTGTCCATTTGAGAAGCTTAGAGGAGTTTCCTGAAAGTCCCTTCTTCACTCATTACCTCTGACAGCTTTCATTGACAACGTGTGACTAGGGCTTCTGAGCATTTTAAAGCAGTGGGAGTCTCAACTGAACAATTGCGCTGTCAATTACCTTTTCCCCTCTGTTGTGAAAAGGGGGCCCATAACAATGCACGCTCTCAGCTGGGGGTGATGGTGTCCTGGGTTTGAAGCCCTCATTGCAAAGTCCAGCATTCAATGGCAAGAAATATTCTCTGACAAATTACTTTTTTTTAATGAAGTTATATGAGGTTTTATATAAATATTTGTTGTACTAATCTGTGTCCAACAACTGCATCTTCCTGTGTCAACTGAAGATAATTATTAAACAAACAGTTGTCCAAGTGCCTTCACCTACATATTGTGTTCCAGGAAACTTCCTGTGGGTATTGATCACTTTGTGAAAAGCCTGTCCATCATACAGGCGCTTTGTCTAACAGTCACTTCCATTTGAATTTGACTGACTGAGGAAACTTGCGTTATTTATACAGAACAGCAAGGCTTTTCATTCATAAGTTCAGTTGGGGGGACGGGGTGCTAATGACTTGGCTTGAATAAGGTGGGGGGATGTGGCATTTATGGCAGGAAGCAACTCAAATGGCAGCCAAATGGGGGAGGAAAGCAAAAATGGATTCTTGGGATAAACATAATAAAATTGAATAACACATTCAAATATAAACAGTATGTGCATATTGTGCATACATTGCTATGTACATGTGTGCCTCACTGCTGTGAAGTTGTTTAAAGAAAGCTTAGAAGGGTGAGGTAGTGTTAACTAACAAGTGATTTGTGCTGCATACTGATAGGTTCCTTCCATCAGAAAACTTCTTGGCCTACATTGAATTCTACTACTCTCTGACTTTAATATGTACCACATTTTTCACATTTTCAGCCTGTTTACTCTAAAGAGCATTTATTTTCTAATACATTTAGTCTTATGTATGTTTTACTTTTCAAATACATGGGGCATCAATATGTGGTATTTCTAAAATAAGACAGAGTTTTATTTAATATGTCTTAACTGTAAAGCAATTAGTATTTTATTATGCTGAAATTCCTTGGTATGTTAACATAGTTAGAAAACAAATTATGCATATTGGAAATATTTTTACAGTAGTTTACACTATACACTATAGATCAAACGTTTTCCAAAGAGGATGACTATTGGCTCTGACTCATTGCAATTAAGGGACATCATTCCATTATCAGAATCATTTTCAATTTGTGTATGTAAAACATCAAAAAACAAGTTAATTTTGTAATTTTGTGATCTTGTATTTATTTTCATCAAATGATTAACATGTAACCACCTTCTTAAATTGTGCAGAGCTTAGGTCTGCTGAGTATCTTTTCGATTTTAAGTGTTATATTATAAAAATGAAGTTATGGTAGAACAAGGTGAAATGCGTTGTATGAAGGGTATATTAGTTTGGTTTGGGCCATAACAGAAAGCCCTAATTTATTTTAGAGGTGTAACCACCAGAGGGAGCTCAGTACTTCTTCAATTGCTAAAAGAAAGGATACCTGAATATCCTATATATGTCAATGTAAATAGAAAAAACGTGAGTGAAAAGTGGTTTATTCACTTTACGACTAATTTATTCTGATAAAAAGTTGTCTTTATTCTAGTGAAAAATAGTTTACAAAATCGCATTGATGTGTTATATTGTAATATGTAAATGTATTTGTGTCAATTGAACATTGCTGTCTAGTATTTGAAAAAAGACTGAAGTAAAATAAAACTATATTGTAATAACCAGGAAAGGGACATACCACATAATTTATGAGTTAATTAATTTGTGACCAAATCATTTTTTTTTCTAATTTTATCACTCGGGTCAATAAGAGGTTTTTACCTGCATACATAAGTGCATTATTGTGCAAATCACAGTTGTATAACCGTATATAAAGTATTTTGGGGAAAAAAATACTTTTGAGTAATTATGTAGGGTTAAATATATACCTATGTTTCATAGTAAATTATACGCAGAAATAAGAGATGTGTCTTGTCTGAAGATTTAAAGTAGTTTGATATTAACTATCTCTTCTTACAACACGATGGCAAGGCATTCATATGCAGAAATAATTGGGAAAGCATATCGCATAGAATTGTATCGAGCAATTCGTTAAAATGAGTTAGAAATTATAAAGTAAATACGAAAAACTGTTCTTAAATTGGTACTGATATATATATATATTAACATTTCTTTTTCATTTTCATTATTGGGAGGTATTTGTAGAAGGGTCATGACAACTTTCTCCTTTTTAAGTCTTGCCATGTATTTGTTATGATTTTGTTATTGGCCTTTTAAGCGTGTCCCCCGCAGCTCTGAGTAGCTGCTGGCACAGAGCACTGTGAATGCGAGTCCTGTCGAGCCAATGAGCTGGGACCGGATACGATATATCCTCTGGGACAACAACTGCTCTGTTCCTCCTTACTTCCACATGACGCCATTTACTGCATAAACCCGACCTCCTCCGGAAAAAAAGAAAAAAGAAGAGAAAACCTCGGTGTGCAAAGCAGCCAAACATTCGGCAACCACAGTAACGTTTCTTGAGAACTATCCAGCTTGCACGGCACTGAAGGTCTTTTGCTAAATGTGCTGGGGGCCGTTTTGAAGATCTCCGTACATTGCGTTTTGATGAAGAAGTACTGCAGGGATCTGTTGGATTCTCTTTACTTTATTTGAAATTATTTGTTTGTTTTTTTTTATTGTCGCGTAAGCCCTCGTGTTCGTTTGGAAAGGAATGTGTATGTTTTCTCTTTTTTGCAATATAGAAGTGGATCAGGAGTTATAATTGGGATCAGACTGTTCTGCTGGATTTTGTGGATGGGTGTTCAACATAAGAGTGATTAGGAAATTGTTTTCCTACTTTGGATTTACTAATTCAAGGAAAAAAGAAGAGGGTGGCAGTGGTGCGTTCACGGTGAGCTTTTGGTTTTATACATTAAGAAATCTGAAATGTTATGCTATGTTGGATTTTGGGCAGTGGAATCGCTTTAACAACATGGGTTAAAAAAAAACTTTTGCGTTCTTTTTGAGTACTCGGAGTGCTTTAGCTCCGCGCCATTTGTGCTGTTCTGGGGGCGTAAGTGTGATCTCGTGTTCAGCAGCATTATTATTATTATGTTTTGGCAGCACAGTGATCTGAACGATATTTATCTGTTTGAAATGTTTTTTGCGAGCATTCCACGTTGCATTCGGGTTTGGTTATTTTTGATTTAGTGCAGCTTTGTCACCTGTTTTGAGTGTTGCCTTTCCATTCCTTGATTCTTTTAATACTTATTTCTTGCACGATTAATGAGTAGGTGTAATGATAATACATATACACACAAAGGATTTGTTATAATCTCACTCGTGCGTCCTGACACCAAAGTTGTTTTATACTATTTTCAGGTGTAACGTTTTTAGGTTACAGTCAGGTTTGTGGTTTCTATTGCAATATCGGCAACTTTATAGTCTTCCTTTTTGAACTATTTGTCAAATGCCCCACCCCAATGGTAGAGACCTTTGACTGTGTAATCCTTAGTCCGATCACACATTCTTAGGGTCTGCCATGGAGATTTTCATTAACTTTTTCTTTTTAAAAGAATACATTAATGCTTAGCTTAAGATTTACAGTTAGCTGAGAAACAATAAGAAGGATTATTAACCTTGGTCTAAATAATCATAACTTTTAATATTACGGTGAATGCGGTTCTTAAATATGAATATTATGCATTTCTATGTTACCGTTTTTAATAAGTTTAATGCTTTGTTTTTATACCATTATTGCCAGAAATAGTGACAGTGTGAGTTCTCCTAGCTGCGTGTTCATCAAAGGTCATAGTCATAGTTCAGAGCGGTTGTAAATTTTGTGATGTTTAAAACGTGTTAGAATATTGTTCCACGCCTTTCTTCTCATTAGGTAAGCAGTTTAAAAAAGCAGATGACAGCGAAAGTTTGCACCTGTGTCAGTGGAAAAATAAGAACCCAGTAGATCAACTTCCTCTTTACGTCTAAAACTGAGCCTCTTTAAATTGCGTACGGCGAGATAGTTTCGCTAATAAATATAAGTTTGTTGGATATATAACAATACTTACTAGTACAGTATTTAACACTGTATTGTCTGGAGATACGGTGTGGTGCTAAAACTGGTTTCATCAGGAAAGTGTTCATTCAACAGACATCATTGTTGAGACTTTGACTTTTCGCTTGCAGAAAATTTCATTCTTTATCAGCTTTCTGCACCTCCCTATTTTCATCACTTCTGAAAATATAAAAGACTGCGGTATTCAAGTCTCTTTAAAAATGCATGAGTGTGGTGCGAGCTATTTGTTATGTTAAAAAGTCTAGCTTGCTACATTGTAATTCAGAAGATGTGATCCCGTTTAAACTTTCTAAAGGAACAACGTCGTAAAAGCATTATTACATCCCAAGTCAATATCCTAAAGTTTGCAAAAATGCAAGTGGAAGTTTATTTGAACTATTCGACACATAAACCAAACTGGATTTGACGGTAAAAAAAACATTCCTCTCAAAGCTAAATCCTGCTGAAATCAAATAATTTGCTTTTGATATTACAAAAGGATAAGACAGATTTTTAACTTTGAAACTGAGTGCCAGTTTTATTTTATTTTTTATCTGTTCCGATCAACATGTTAATCTACTGTATAGGGGTATTATCATTAATGAGATTATGAGCACTAAGGTAAAAATGTTCCTCAATACAATTAAAGTAGAACACTTTGTTTTAACTTAATGTTAATCTATTGTGAACATTGATATGGTAGTCCAATCATAGTTTGTTAAAAAAATAAAGTGTAATGTTATAAAATAAAAGCTGCAGAATGCAGTATTTTCACATTTTTAAAAAGGCACATTGTATTTGTCAAAAGAAATATTAAGATGTAAATGGATGAAATAACAGCAATGTAAGTATGAAACTTTTTAGGGGGTTGCCAGATTGTGATAAAATAACTTAGAACAACAGTTTTGATTAGGATATTTGTTTTACACTTGGTGTGGTTTGTAGATGTCTTAAATTGGAGGTAAAAAAAGATTAAGCAGGGGTTAAAGCTTTAATTTCCATACGTGGAAATTTATTTTTGACCCTTCATGACTAAGTTCTTATCATGCATAAAATGATTTTTGAAACAAGCTGACATTCTGCATTTTAGGGGGGGTTACAGAAAGTTTTATATTTTTTCTGCAAGTACATGCAAACATACACAAATGGCAATAGTGAAGTCTGCTTAGGTTGAGCTGAACACGCCTTTCATATCCTTGACACTATATGATTATATTTGTAATTTATCTGATTTATAACATTATGAGTTTATGAAAATGTATCACCTTCAAAGAGCCTTTTTCAACACTTTTATTTTTTTCTGCTGGTTATGAAGTTGTCTACCAAATTAGTTATGTGTGGCTTGCCTATCTCATGCTTCATTCATTTAATTTCTTTCAGGATTTCAGATGTGTTCTACGCCTGCTGGAGGAATCCCTCTTCAGAGTAAAGATGGAGACAAGAACTCAAATCAGCAGTGGTTCTCCTGCACTGCTGCATCTTCTGCGTGACAGCGGGAGGCAGCATGCAGGAGAACCTGACTCCAGGGATACCTTGACTCAGCAGGCCCAGGTGTTGTCACTTGATCAGATCAGGATAATTAGAAGCTCCAATGAGTACACAGAAGGACCGATGGTGGCTCCTAGACCTGGGAGTAAACCCATTGCTCTCCAGTCTACTCAACACAAAACGGACAATGTGAGTGGCATGACAAATGAACAGGAGCAGCAGAGGTTTATCCACAGAGATCCACATCACTACCATACACGTTCTTCTCGGGTGGCTTTGTCCCAATCTACTGATGCAGTGAGCACTGGTTCAAGGAGTAGGACAACTACAAGCAGTACTTCCTCTGAGCAGAGGCTCTTGGGAGATTCTCCCACTGAACGGATAATCAGGGTGCAGCCAAAACCTTCTGAACTTAAGTCAGAGGAGCTTAAACCCTTCACTATTGAGGAATGTGGAAACCATGTGTATCGCTGTGAAGACTGTGGAAAATGCAAATGTGAGGAGTGCACTTACCCACGGACTCTTCCCTCTTGCTGGGTTTGTGACAAACGGTGCGTTTGCTCTCTTCAGAATTTGGTGGACTATGGTACTTGTGTCTGCTGTATTAAGTGCCTGTTTTACCACTGTTCAAGTGATGATGAAGACAACTGTGCAGACAACCCCTGTTCTTGCAGTCAGTCAAACTGTTGTGTGCGGTGGTCTGCCATGGGCATAATGTCCCTATTTCTGCCTTGCTTGTTGTGTTACCTTCCAGCCAAGGGGTGCCTTAAGGTGTGTCAGGGCTGTTATGACCTTGTCAAACGACCTGGCTGCAGGTGCAAAAACACCAACACCATCTGTTGCAAGAATTTAGATTCCTCGGCTCAGAAATTTGAAAAGCCGGCACAGGAAACATCTTATCATAAAGGACGTGCAACTTCAGAAACAAACTAATAAAGTTGTAGTTCTGGCACTGTAGAAGCAGTGGATTGGGATTTGCTTAGCTCTTTGCAGTGGCTCACACTTTTAGCCACCATTTTGTCTAGGGATGCATGTGGATAAAGCCCATCTGTTTTTTTTTAAAGACTAAGTCCAGAAATTTAGTCCTACAGACTCTTAATACAACTTATAAACTACAGCTGCAAATTTTCCTGCCCAATTGTTTGCTTGTGAATAGTTTTTGCAAAATATGTAAATTAGCATTTTTTCTGCCAGAGATAGTTTTATTTTTGTACATATAATATTTCAACTGTGAAAAAACGTGGTGCCAAAGCAGTGGCATCTTGAGAAAAAATATTATACTAATATGTTGTACATTCAGTTGAATGTGAATCAATCAGTATGTTGTAGACTGTTGTACCTTACAAAAGTCAAACTGTAAAAGAATCTTATCCTCTCAACTTTACATGTACATTGTACAGTGACCATAAGAAACAGCCTTTATATTCTAATTTTTCAACATATTGTTTAGTGTAAAGAATATTTATTTGAAGTTTTATTTTATAAAAATATATTTATTTTAAAAGGCATCATAAAGATATCACCCTATTTAAAAATAAAACGATCATTGTTGTTGCAAATAAGGGTGGCAAATCAGATGCATATGTGCGCTGCAAAATAGAAAATATATTAACGTTTGAAATTAAACAGTTGTTTGTCTTCATTTTTTTATTTTGCGTTTTGCTAATGATAAAAATTTAAAAAGCCATTTTTGATTTGTTCATTATTCTGAGAATTGTGTAATATAAAATACAGTGGTATTTAGAGATCTATAGCACTATTTAGGACTTGGTTCCATCTTGAGGTTTGCTGTTGACCTTGTGTTTTTTCTTTCTAACAAATTGAATATTCTAAATTCATTACCAGGATCAGCATAATACCGCACTAGGAAGCTGAAATTCCAAAAAGAGCTCTAAAATTAAAATAATGGGAGTGCAGTGTTTAACATGATGAATGCACATCAAAGCCCACTAAATATTACAAAGAAATGAACTAGAATAAATTTAAGAAGACAGTGACCCACATTATTTTTATTTTTTTACCGATTTCCATTATTTAACAGATTTAGTGGCTTTATCATGTATTTTATAGAGGAATTTAGGAAATGTTGCTTCAAGACTATTTCAAGGAAGCAGGTAGTTTTACAGATGTATCTCATTAATGATACCAGTCCAATATTACATGCAGGTTATAAGGCATCTTAGACTGTAAGGTGGACATTTTCTTTTAGAATGAAAATGCCCCGATAAGCTTCTTCAGAGCGAACAATGGAAACTGAACCAGAGAATACAACTGGAAAGTATATGGAAGTCTATTTTAAACTAAGAATAGAGACACATCTTTACACAAGACTTGTGCTGCTATGGAAAAAGCTATGCAGCCATGCTGTTGAAATCAAAATCCTAATTTGTTTTGAGTACTGGAAGAAGACCTTTGATTAATTGCTTACTAATTACCAAAGGGGCAATACTGGTTAAGTGGCCTTCTCTCTTTTGTAACTTCCTATAAATCTACAAATTCCATCAGGCCTGAAGTCTGTCTAGGAAATAGGCATTATGGATACTGTAGGTTAGTGTACTAATAAGGTCTCATTTTAGAAACTAGGCTTCACAAGGTTTCACAGCAACCATATATTGTCTGGTTATTCTCGGGTTGCTGTTTCACAGAACTAATTATAAAATTGGACTGCTTATATTTGCGAGCACAATATCTCATTAACATTCCTGTTCACAATCTAGATCCAGATATGTTTGTCTATATTTTATCGTTAAAGTTTAATCTCAGACTTCAAAAACGCTCTTTGTAATCAAAGTGTGGTAAGATTCATTTTGAGTACCACCTGGGACAAGTCAAGCTTCACTGTTCACTGTTCAGTAACATCTGTCACTGGTTACCTTAACATTCATTAAAATGGTTATCTGTTAATTTTTTTGCAAAAATGTGTTGATTTGTATAACTAATGCTTGTTCTACTTTTTAACAAGCAGGTGCAGGGGTAAACATCTGATGGAATACACATTTGGCAACATCACTTTTGGAAAACAGGAAATAAAATTAAAAAGCTTTTTATCTTTACAAAGAGGAAGAAAAGAACGGGTTGGATGCCTTCCGTTCTAGCTAGTTTCAATTGCTGGCATCTTTCTCCCTTTCAAGTGTGCATCTGGAAGTTATAGAGAAACTGAATGATGTTGCAGGCTTTCTTTCATGGGGCTAGCTGTAGGGCAGCATATGTTCTACTTGAGCTTTGTATCCAGCTTGACTGCTTAGCCTGTGTACCAGATGTTTAGAGTACACAACAACATATCAAACATTAAAATGTAGTGCACTAGTGGAAATTGGGGAAAGGCACCCTAAAATGAAACCGCCATGCATTACAAAAGGTAGCATACACACAGTTTTGCTACATAATTTGCTAGCTTAAAAAATATTTTTAAATGTATATACCTTGTAGTATTTATTTTTAGAATACGTCATGATTTAATGCATAAAGTGCTTTACAAAGGAACTGTGGAGTGTGCAGTTATGCTTATATATAATTTTAATAGCTACATCACTGGAAAAAAAACTTTGTTCTAGTCCAGAAGTAAAGCTTATATTTAATACAGAACTTACTTAAATCAATTGTTCTAAGTACCTACATTTATTTAACCCAAAAATAAAATTGAGAAATGCTAAATGGGGGAGGCACAAACATAGCACAGTGTTTATCATTGCTACCTCAAAAGCCTGGAGCCCTGGGTTAAATTTCAAACCAGGACTCTGCATGGACTTATTATATTCTCAATGTGTTTGTGTGGGTTTTCACTCCAGTTCCAGTTTCTTGCAGTCCAAAGACATACTGCCAGCTTTATTGGTTTCAGGGCCATGTCTTAGTGTGTGCATGTCTGTCCCCTGCGACACTGTATTGGATAAAGCAGCAAAACAGTATATGCATGGACTATTAAATGGGTTATTTTCCACTCAGATTATCAAGGCTGTTTTATTTAGATTTAAAAACTTAGTAATTGTAATGTGATCTAGGAATATTATAATCCATCAAAAAGTTTAGCACATAAAAAATTGCATTATCTCCACTTCCTTCCATATAGAGCATCTGTTTGTTTTAAATACAATATTTAATTCTATAAACCTTTAGATTTCACTGTCAGCTGGTTCATAAATGAAATCACTTTTGGTAAAACCTTTTGCTTTTCAGATAAAGCCATTTCAAAATCTAATGTATTTAAGTGGACATATTGTAGAATTATTTCATTGAATGTTTCCAACACTTGATAGACAATTGTCTGTTAAAAGTTTTGTTTTACACTGATAAATATGATGAACATGTTTCTTTTTAGATATCCAGGATATCAGTTTTCTACAAATATTTGTAGAGAGTTGTTGGAACTAAATAGCTAACATTGTTCCTCTGGTTTTATAACCTGGTTTGGCTGCATAAAATATGCTAGAGTAACAATATGGAAAGTGGAGCTGGAACAACCCAGTTAGTCCTCTGTTGTTCAACATTTGGTTCAGAAGGCACTACTTTTTATTTCCATGTTTTTTTCATTTTCAATTTTAATGTTGTAAGAAACAGAGCTGTCCTATTTCTTGAAGAGTCACTTGAGCATCGGAGTCTTACCAGACTTGTAAAACTAGACACCTGCTTTCAAGGCCACCCAACACTTGAGGATAATGATATGCTGTTCCAATTAAGAGTGCCTTGTAGTTTTCAGTGTTCAGGTTTATTTTTTTATTTCCTGTGGTTTTTGTGCTTGGGCGTTCTTCAGTAAACAAAAGACGTCAGTGGAGCAATATCTAAAGTGTTTGTAGTTTTCAACAAATATGTATTTTTTTATAAGTTTGTACAGGGACATAAATATGTTTTTATTGTGTTGAGATTTTCATGATGATCAGTCTTAAAAATAGAAAAAGTCCTATACTGATTTTATAAGTACATGAACATAGAATTGTATTTCATTTACAGTGTGGACATCTGAAGACTAAATTTAAGACAAAGATGTTTTTCTCCTCTGATTAAGGAAACTTAATTCCTTAAGCATTATCAAAATGGATTACACAACACGGTTTCCTTGAAACCAATTTTTTTATTAAATTTGAAACTCAGCAATGCAATTGCAATTTTTTGTGTAGTCTCATATCTCAACTTGCACGGGGTCATATTTTATTTATTTAATTTATTGTTTCTCCATTTTTTTCTGAATTTTGATCTAGTGTTATATAGTTAATCATAACTAAATTAACTGTATCTAGTGTAGATCTACAGTATATGTGAAACTGAAAGTTGAAGTATTGACTAGCTCCAGTCTCTAAAATGATTATTAAAATTTTACAGCAAATACATTTTCAAAATTAGCTTGCCTCATTTAGTTTTTCAATGCAAAATATATAAAAAATATGATTTTATAGTGATTTAAGCTTTTAAGTTTGAAGTGACACTAAAATTATAGCCACAAGAACAGTTATTAGTAAATGTATAAGTCCTTTTGAATATATACACAACTTTCAGCAGCTTGTAAAAAAGATGATTGTGTATTTTGATGGTTGTTTCACTTCAAAAGATAATCTTCCTTAATAATTATCCATTATTTTTTAATATATACTAATCTGACAAGCTCTAGTTTTAACATGTGAGGATAAAAGCTTGTTAGCTCTTTTTCCTCAGTTAAATGTTCCCTGCATATGGATCTAAGGATCTCATCAATTTCATTGCCTCATTGCAATTTGCAGGATGTTTCAGTCTAAAAATATGTAACAGCACAATATAATGGACTAATAACTTATCCAATAGCATTTTTCCATTTTAATTATTTTTATGTAACCATTTACATTTTTTGCATTTTTCTAATGAGTTTATTTTCCTTAATTTAATCCAAAATTGGTCTTTTAAAGATCTTGATAGCATATACTGGACAATATAATTAAATCTGAATTTTGTTTACTTATTTTGTTTAGATTGCAGACGTCTAGTATTTTTCTTATTTCTTATTTGGAAACTAATTTGAGATTGAATAATTATAACTTGGGAAATGCATTATTTTAACTAAAGATTTTTATACTTGCTTTCCTTCATTATCTGAACTGTTGAATCTTAGAAACAATAAGGGTTTGGTGACAAGTAGGCATGCGAAGGCAAAGGGTTAAAGACATTACTTTAAATGACAAAAGCTGAACAGTTTACCCCACATTCAGCCTCTCATGTATTCATCCTATTTTCTATGGACTGTGCTATTTCAGCTTTCTAAGCCCCTCAACTACCTGCCCCTAATTGGTATTCTTGGAGGGGGCTTTGGGTTTATGTGTGTTTTGTATTTGTGTGCTAATAGGGATGGGCTTGTCTCAGAGGAGTACAGGAAGCTCTGACTGGAGAGGGGAGCAGAACTGCATTTAAACCTCATGCTTTTTTTAACGTGACTCAAGTACAAAAGCTCTAACGATTATTAGGGGAAAAAATAATACCTTTTGAAAATGTGTCTGTCATTGTACTCAGCCTAGGTGCAAACCTGTGTAGTCCATCATATGTAAACATAAAAATGTATCTCCAATATAGATAAGGCTGTTATTTCTTTTTATCAATCTAGAAAGAAAAATCTTATGGAGAAACAAACTAAGGCTCAAATACAGAAAGTAATCAGAAATCGAAACACC